ACAGACGTGATGCGGGCCAAGGTCATCGCTGGGGCGTCGGACTCGTGGTGTCCCAGCACCTGCAATTCCATACCTACAACTTTCCAACTATGATTGTTTTACGTTACGATATTGGCATGCACCGTGCACTAGCCTACAAGGTTTGCGTGTGAAGCAGGGTTTCAAGCGACCTGCGACGGTACCTTTTTGTTGCGCTGCTGGCTGGTGTTGCTGTCGTCCATCTTTATTCTTCGGCACTGTCAACTCAGTCACCAATCATTCTGCAACAGGCAGTAGCATATTTTAGATAACGGTCCATTCAAAACTGTTAACACTTATTTCATATGGATGGTATCGTACCTCATCAACCTAGCTGTTTGGGAGCCAATTATTCAGTAGTCTGTCAGCTGTGAGGTGAGTGACATTTTTGTTGCACGTTTTGCTGCACAAATACAAGTTACACAGCACACACCTTTGGACCTAAATAATGCAATCAACCACTTGGCACTTGAAGAAAGAAGCACACTGCGATTACTGATTCATGAATTGTGTGTGATTTGGTGCCCAGACTTCATGGGCTATCAATTAGCACACTTTGAGAGGGATGCATAACATCCAGTCTCGATATCCAGGGAGCCAGGTGCAGATGCTGTAAAGTAACTGTTTGAAAATACTGTGGAATTCAGTGCCTACTTTTGGGTTTATCAGCTGGCTGATCCCTCCCCCAGTCCAAATTGAAATGCTATGGCACTGCCACCAAGAGTTGGGACTTGGAAGCATCCCACAAACATGAGCTGAGGAAGGAACCTACATTACAGCAGCCCAGACTACAAAACATGACAATCTCAACAGTCGACAAGGTCTTGCCGGTGTGGAGGCACTCAGAAGACACACAGTGTGCAGTGTTGCACAGATTTCGCATGGAGCTGTGTGATCCAAATGTAGTATCATGCCAAACTGCTTTTCTAATGCATTATTGTCCAAGAAACTAATTTAACAACTTCTTTGAACACCTCTTTGAACAATTTGTTTGTGTTTGAACAACCCCCTGCGGTTTTTCGCGGATATCTCCGAAAAGGCGGTGCGGAGCGCCACCGTTTTTGGCACACCTGTTAACCCGCGCGGGGCTGGGGTCTCCAGCCGAACGCGCGGGGCTGGGGGGGGGGGTAAATTTTACCCCCCTGTTATCTCCCGAACTAATGGTCCGATTTGGAAAATTCAAACGCCAATCGAAAGCTCTCATCACGAACTACTAAAAACATGTACTTAATTTAAAGTTTGAGGTCAAGGTCAAGGTCAGGTCAAGGGTACAAATTGCAAGTTTCTACAGTATCGGCCTTGCACCGTAGTTGCCGAAGAATGGAGTCATGGACTGAGACTGATCGCCCAAAACGTGTTCTTAGGCTACCAAGACAATATTCGTTGCATACAATATCATTCAGAGGTCAAGGTCAAGGTCAGGTCAGGTCAGGTCAGGTCACCAAAAAACAAAATATAGAAAAGGGCATGTGCGAGTGCGACACATGTTTTATGGGTCATTTTACTCATAGAATTCAATAGGCACACTCAATAAGTGATATGGACCACCTCTGGATGAATTTCAGGTCGAGGTCAGGTCAAGGTCAGGTCAAGTGAGGTCAAATTTTGAAGTTGGTTGTTAAGGCCTAAAAAGGTGTCTATCTGATGCAGTTTTTCACGGTGAATCGAATGGTGCTATTTTTGTTTCCGTACGAGGTCTAGAACTTCCAAAAAAAGTCATTTTTCAAAAATTTTGTGTGTCGTGACGTCATAAAATTTTGAATAACTCCCACATTTTTGAACCGATTCTTCTAAAATTTGGTATGTAGGTGCACATAGACCACTTCTCTGACATATATTCCGGTTTTTCGATAGACTCAAAATTTTGGATTTTATAATGATTTTCCCAAAAAAATCAGTTTTTTTTTGAAAAAATTTAGGCCAAAATCCAAAATTTTCAAAAAACCGAGATAGCCATTTGATAGACAAAGTAAAATTACGTATAACCTTTTTTGTTACGTCTTGATTCCTTTAAAAATGAAGATGTTAGCGGCGTTTGAACTTTTGCCGTTTTTGAGGCGAAAATGGCGAACATGACGTCACTAAAACGTCAATTTCTCAAAAATTTTCCGACGGATTTCGCTCAAATTTTCAGGGAAGGTGTCAAATTGATTTAAGAAAAGGTACTGAAAGTTTGGCGGCGCTGCGCGCCGCCGTTTTTGAGATATCGCAAAAATTCGTGAGGGGGGGGGGGGGTAAAATTTACCCCCCCAGCCCCGCGCGGGTTAATGCATCTTTCCGCACATGTGAAAATTTCAGATCCAGCAGGTTACCAGGTCATGTCAAGTGACCTAACCTCAGAAAGTTTCAATCCTCGTCATAGCTACACCGACTGAACGATCGCCTTGAAAGTTTCAGCGATTTATAAGAGTAACAATATGTACAAAATGTTTATCTCGGAATTTCGATATTGGTGACCTAAGGTCAGGTCAATTTTGCGACCTCTCCATTATAAGTCAATGGGAGAAAATTGAAATGCGCCTATTTTGATGATGATGCGCCTGTTTTGGACGAATGGTGTTTAAAACCCTCTCAAAAATCGGTTCATGGGTGAACATGACACATTGAATTAGAAAAATGTTCATGTGACATGACCCGTCATTTGTGTGCCAGGGTGAGGACCTCAATCTCGCTAGCTCACCTCAAACCTAATGTTAAGGTGGGATGGTCACTTTTAACTATTATTTTCTTGTGCCCGAAGCTAAAAAAATGTTTGATTTTACTTGTTACTCCTATTCGTTGTGAAATCCTCATATCAATATTCATAGCTCTTCAGTGCCCTGACTCATATAGTGACTCATATAGTATAGTGACTCTTTAGTGCTCTGATTCATAGGTAGGTACCTATCAAATGATTTGGATGTACTAAACAATGGCTCAACCCAGACTGGAAATAATACACGTTATGCCGAATATGTCCGGCGTAGTGGCGGGATTGCGCCGAAAATTTCAGCGCACGTCCGGCGTAACTTCGCATGCGCCGAATTCAGCACATGGCGGCGGACGAATTTTTCGGCGCAGGGCGGTCGCATAATTTTTAGGCGAAAGACTTAAGGCCTGGCTACACTATGCGTTTTCTGCGTGCGTTTTTTGCGAGTTTGCGTGATTTGCAGAATATTTTTCTAGAAAGAAACGAGATTACGCTTTTGATATATGTTTTTCATATACAATTTTAATTAATATAAACGTTTTATTAACTTTTATATAAATACTTAAGAAGTTATATTAGTAATAACTTTTTTTTTTCTAGAACGATATTACGCAAAACACACAAACTCGCAAAAACGCACGCAGAAAACGCATAGTGTAGCCAGGCCTTTAAGACGGTCACCGAATTTATGCAGTACGCTGGTCAATCTAGCAGCAGATTCGCCCCGCGGGCGGCTCTGGAGAGGTTTCGGGACGAGACCTCCCCGCCCCGGTCGTCGCGTGCTCGAAATGGTGAGCCGCTCGAACTCAGCGGAGAAGTGGCTGCCCAGGGACTAGGGAGGCCTCAACCCTCGGCATGGAGATAGGTATGGAAGACCTTGTTGAACATCGCCAAGCGTCGTTAAGCAAAACTGCAGTGGGTTCCTGCCCACTGCGGTATCGAGAGGAATGAGAGCGCGGACGACCTGGCAAAACAGGCGGCCGCCCTGCCCTCAAACGCCCACTCACTGACCAGGGCGGTTCACTGTGCGGCCTAGCATCAATGGCGCGACAACTGCTCAGAGTCACTATTCAAGCCACTCCTCGGGAGCACGTCACCGCTCCCTATCCCCGCAGCGGAGTGCGGACCAAGAGAATGCCGTTTCGGTGCACCAGATGAGGGCGGGCCACTGGGGCCGCTCGCTCCAATACGGCACCAAATCGGCAGTCTCCACTCCGCGGCGTACCAGCAGTGCCCAGACAAGTGGTGCCCCGCGGCGCTCTGCGCCATGTGCCGAGAAGAGGGTGATGTGCCGGAGCACATGCTGCTCCGCTGCCCGGCCCTCGCTGCCACTCCCACCAGCCTCGAACATACTGCTCCGCGATATTAACATCAGCACAAGGCATGAAGCTAGAGTGCGCTAAGACTATTGAGGTATTGAGTTTCTGTGGAAATGAAAAACTCATTCGCTCAAACATGGGAGAGCATACAAGGCACCGGAACACTCTGTCTGGTTCATATAAACTTGATCGGAAGATTTTCACATGTGCTTTATATAAAAAGGGCTTAATTTGCTTTATATAAAAAGGGCTTGATTTTCACACAAATAGGCACCTAATTTTTGGCGCAAATCACACAGAAATTTCAGCGCAAATCGCTTGCAAGAGGGTCTCATGGGCGTCCGGCGTAGTGTATGGATGTTTTCCAGTCTGGGGCTCATCGTCTGCCAAATTGTTGCATTAGCATGCCAAATGTTACAATAAATGATAAATATAAAATGGTTGGTTTCTGTCGATCAACCGCTCAAATACAATTATAATTTGCCATGGTAGGTATCCAGTTTCAATCCCTGTGTTGGTAAAGCCTATAAAATAAAACATTTGCAAACGTTAGCTAATTGTTAATTGCAGTTCGAAAACTTCAAATTGAAGTAGGCAACACACCCGATGCGATCACTTACCCATTACAAAACCTACAAAACCAATTACAAACGATTTGTTTTCGTTTTCCGTTTATTTGAGTGTTGAATCAAGGGATGCTCTTTTTATCTCATCACAGTTAGAGATTTATTTGAAAATTTGATGACGTTATATAATGATTATGCAATTTTTTAGCATTATTTCTTCTAATCAGCTTCATTCACTATAAAAAGGGCTTTATTCAGTATATATATTAAATGTTTTCGAATAAAAAAGTTGATGATTGGAGTTTAAATACAAACAAAATGTTAAAGATGTCAAAATACGATTAAAGCTTGACTGATTACTGCGTCATATTTGTAGCAGTTGTAATTACGACTCATCGTAATCGCCGAAAGTCGTAAGCTGGGTTGTAATTTTCCTTTTGAGTGGGTGGTCTGCTGGTTCAAGTGATTCCAAGTCCTTTTACTTGGGTTATTGCGAGCTGTTTCATTTCGTTTTTGATATTTGCATTGTTTTGCAGTTTGAGGTGGTAGTCCCTGACCATTGGAAATTGGAATTAACCCAAGACGGATAGGTAGGTAGGACTAGGTAGCACTTGTTTGACGTATATTTTGCCCTAAACTGCTTGTCAGCCTAGTTCCTATTGTTAAAGCATGCATCCTTTCAGCTCAGACAAGGCGCTTTTATCTGATTTATTTTTCTTGAAAGCTCCTTTGTTATAGCACCTTTTCACTTTCCTGGAAAGAAAATACTTTCGGACCGAATTGTGACTTTCCCCTTCCCCTGTTCTTTGTGTTTCAGGAGTTGAGACTATTGCAGGTGGACAGTGGACTGATGCATCATTGTTCATGGTTATCAGCAAAGCTGTGAGGACCTAGTGATCTACTACAGGCCTCCAGTGTTATAAAATACTGTAGGCATCATGGGGATCTTCTCAACCAGCTCACCATTCGACAATGATGTGGGTAAGTTCTGTGTACGTTTTGAGGCTGCTAATTCTTTGTGTTGTAGTGCTCAGTTGGTCTTGTTTTTTTCTTGTGTAGTTAAATCATAATGCTTGATATTTTGTAACATTAAATGAACATGGAAAATGACCAAGCTGGTGGTAATAGGGACACTTTTAGGTCTACCCATTAAATCAAATGATAGCCATATAAAAGACCTGTAATGCAGAGGATGTATCATTTCAAAGTACCATGCATGGATTAACATTGGACCTCCCAGCAATTAGTGTAGTGGCTGAATTTAGTGTTCCATTGAGCAATACTTTCAGAAAGCTCAGTTTATATCAGCTTCCTATTTACTGGCTACTATCCGTGCCTTGGTCAATAAAAGTAGTAGAATTTACTTCAAAAATAACTTTTTTATGTCTACATTAGGTAGTTTGAGATGTTCTGACATAATTTTTTATTATTTGTTTGTTGTCTGTTCCATTGCAATTACATCATTTTATGGCTTTCAATTTTTATTTTTCCCCTTTTTATGCCTATTTGATTTCATGAATAATTGCTGTAAATGTGTGAACAACAGACTAAAAAAGGCTCAAACTGTTATTTTTTAACCAACTATATCAGTTTTGAGTGAAAGGTTAAATGCCTTTAATCAGAAGTCCATTTAAAACTACTATCTGCTCATCTAACTGATAGTAGGTAGTTAAAACCTCCTATTTCCACTTTCATTCAGTGTGTTTCTGAGTTTTGGATTATAATTGGTCCTGAGAAAACTGCTGTAGTTCAATGGTATCATTGTGACTTTGTCTGAGCTGGCAACACCATTACATGAGTAAGAAAACCATTTAAATAACAGCTGACAAGTTAATGAAACCTGTATGTTGTGAGCAGGAAGATCAGATAATAAGCACCTCAAGTGGCCTATGGTTTATGGTATGAATCTGATCAATAATACAAATAGCAGCTGATATTGGTACTAAAAGTTTCATATAGATTATGTCTGCCTAATTTAATACAGTTAGCCATATGCATGGTGTTCAGCCAAAAGAATTACACAGTTGGGCTATTGTGGCATCTGGTGGTAATCCAACTAGTTTTTTGAAGCATCCATGGAGCAGTCAGATGTTACTGAGCCTGCTATGTGGCTGAGGTGAGATGACCATCTGTAAAGCCTCCAGGACATAGTGGCTCATTTTGTATCAAACTGTAAATTGATGGGTGAAAAAGGTTCAGTCCATGGAATGAGTAAGTGCATTGGTGCAAACATTATGAGTATCAGTATAAGTGCACTATCATGTGTGAAAAAATGGTACATTTTATTTTTATTGCCCTTTTACTGCCTTTCTAAAGTGATTGTCCTTGCCTTCCAAAGCAAATGCCTTTTTTGTCTAAAATTATTCACGGTTTCGGCTTTCAGATCGTGTCACGGACGAGAAGAACACCACGGAGGACTGGGGTCTGATCATGGACCTGTGCGACCGGGCAGCGGCCAACCCGAAGGACGCCATGCGCTCCATAATCCGTCAGCTGAACCACCGTAACCCGCACGTCCAGCTGCAGACCATCACCGTGAGTCGGGCGGCGCGGAGAGGCGCCGACCGGGGCTCGATGGGGTACCTGCCGGGGCTTGTGGGGTACTTACCGGGGCTCGATGGGGTACCTGCCGGGGCTTGTGGGGTACCTACCGGGGCTCGGTGGGATACCTACCGGGGCTCGGTGGGATACCTACCGGGGCTTGGTGGGATACCTACCGGGGCTCGGTGGGATACCTACCGGGGCTTGTGGAATATATACAGGATACTTACCTGATGGCTGGTGGGATTCATATATGCGTGATTCAGTGGATCGTAAATTAGCAAGTGTTTTGTCATAACATTATGCTCTCATTGAACAATCTGAGATGCAGACATTTCTCGTTGCCATGCCGACAGCTGTTGGATGCCTGTGTGAACAACAGCGGGAAACACTTTCACCTGGAGGTGGCCAGCCGCGAGTTCGAGCAGGAGTTCAAGAAGCATGTGTTCAACCCAAACACCCACAAGCGGGTTTCCTCCCGACTGTTGGCCGTAAGTATCGACTGGTGGACGTGATTTTCAGTAGCGTGTCTTTGTCAGAAGTCATGCTGAACACCCAAGCGTTGAGAAATTAGACAGCCCCCTGACCCCAACAAGATCGTTGGGATCGGGCTGCATAATGCAACTAAGGGAGCCTGAAATCAGGGGATTGGAGAGAAGATATTGCTGTAAGGGAAAGACATCGAACCACTAACCAGTGGCCGCGCTGCAATCTCCATCCGTGATGCTAGGTTAAACTCCGCTAACTAGTCTACCAACCCGAACTTTCGTCGTCATTGACCCCTCGCTAACCCGCCTCCCCGGGCCCTCTGACCCGCTCTTCTCCCCTTGCTCCATCTTACAGTCGCTGCAGAAGTGGGCAGAGACCGAGTTCCGCTCGGACTCGCAGCTCTCGCTCATCCCGAGCCTGTACCGGTCGCTGCAGGACGAGGGACTGTACGCCCGGCTGGCCGACCACGAGGCGCCGCCAAAGAAGGCCGCCGCGGCCGCCAGCCGAGACCCGAACGTGGTCAGTTCGCAGCAGGAGGAAGACGATATCGCCAAAGGTGAGCTAGTGGGGCAGACGCTGTACGTTCTTAGAACGGGAACTTAGCGGTTTTCACAATCATATCGAATGTTATTGGGATGCCCACCCGTGAAAGACTCATAGATTCCAAAATATTATATTTGCACGTCACTGAAAATGTACTTTTGTACCGAGATACACCCATAATAAGTTTTGTTCAATACGATACGACGGGGCAGTTTTTCTTTACTAGGGGTGAAACAATGTACCACGTTTGATGACTGATACGCTCTATCTGCCGTTCATTGATTCTGGTGTCTTACGTACATTTTATACATCCACGTCCTCCCATCAGCTATCCCTGTCCTTGAGCTTAGTGTATGCTGTCGGCGCCGCAGCGCCCGAATTTGCAAGTCATCCTCCGATGGCCCCATACTTGCCTCTGCGTCGCGCTCATCACCGGTGTTGTGTGTAACAGTTCTGACTCATGGGTACCACGTCTGACGTCACAACTATCCTGAGTCATCTAACGCGTCACATTTGCGCAATCAGTGACTCGCACGGCTTTTTTTGTGGCTCGATGCTATGCTGGCGCCACGCCTCAGTGAATGAGATAAAGACGTGATCTGTTGAATGAGCCATCATGTTTTGGTTGTTTTTTTTTTTCTTATCGGATCTAATTTTGGTGTTGATTGATGGTTCTATTTTATCATCAGTTTTCATCATGTGGCATTACAAAATGATGGTCTTCTCATAATCGTTTCTGCTTTCTACTGGCAGCCTTTTTCTCGTCACCATCGCCAATATGCCTTACCACAAAACCTTCACCGGTAATATCCATAGTTTGTCTACCGTTTTCAGCCATCGTGCTGTCAATATTCAATCCCTCATCATGCCCCACGTCTTCAGCCATCGTGCTATCGTTGTCGAATGTATATCATCCCTCTATAACTCGACTCCTGTTAACAGCTATCTCTCTGTCGATATTCCGTCCCTTACCACACTTCCCGTTTTCAACCATCACGCTGTCGATATCGGATGTTTGTCACCGCTCGCCTCACCTCCCGTTTCCAGCCATCGCTCTGTCGATGAAGGAAGCGGAGAAGGCGCCGCGCTCCTCCAGCCTGTACCCGTCGGCGCAAAGCGTGCTCAGCTCCCCGGGACCGTCCACATCATCGTCTGGTGGGTCTGCCGGGGGCGCCGGCGCTGCCGCTGCTGCCAAACCCGAGCGGAAGGTGCGGGCTCTGTATGACTTCGAGGCAGCCGAGGACAACGAACTCACCTTCAAGGCCGGGGAGATCGGTGAGTCGGGGCGAGATGGGAGTGAGAGTTCATATGGACTGTGTGGGTGAGTTGTTTGGCAGGTAATGCGTAAGTGTTACGCTACTTGAACATTATAACGAGTTTGAATACGATTTTTGTGCTCCCAACCGATTTCAGAACAGCGTACAAATCCGGGCAGGGCTCAGACGACAAAATTTGACATTTGAGCCGTCTTACTTCGTCTATCATTAATGACACCGTAAAACGCGCCTGTCGGAAATTCCGGCCAGCAACGATTCAACAATCACTACCAATGTGTAAATCCGCACTATGGATTATTTGGCTGATAATTTTGTGATGCCGCTCTTGCCATTGGCAACGCTGTCTTTATCTGCCTTTATCAGTACACTGGCATTTCGATAACACGGCGACGAGGTCTGTTGTTACGCTTGGTCGTGTACACGGCTGGCCTTTATCGGTGGCCAGTGACAGATAGTATGTGACGTGTGCTGGGCCCCAAATACGAGGCTAATGATGCGGGTTGGCTTGGCTGGGATGATGTTTGGGTATGGAACTTGAGTGTCTTATTGGGTGCTTCATAAAACATTTGTAATGCCGCTACCTAATTTGTGCTTGTTCTATAGCTGTTGCATCATCAAATGGACGCTTTCGCAAATAGTTCAAGTCCAGGTTTGACATTACTTTGTGCCCAAATATGATTTGCGATTTTACATTTATATAACACCAATTTTATCCACAGCGCTCGTTCCGCAGCCGCCTCTGACTATTCTCTCTCCCCGGCTTCGCCGCCAGTGCTTGTGACGGAGGACAGCGACCCCAACTGGTGGCTGGGCTCCAACCACCGCGGCAAGGGTCTGTTCCCGTCCAACTTTGTCACCTCGGACCTCTCCGAGGAGCCAGAGCAGTGGAGTGAGTCCTTCGGGCCGAGGGGTGTTGATGGTGTGGGGAGCTTTTCGTTCATCTGGGTGTGAGGTTCCAACAAAGGCTTATCAGAGCATTGCAGCCCTTTGAGGGGATATATTACTGTGCTGTCTATAACTGATAATGGAATATTTTAATCATTTCCAATAGATCAGACTGGCTAATTGTGCGCGTGCACCATAATGTCTGTACTGTGATGGTGACGTGGTTATCGATACCGCTCCGTGCAGAAGAGGAGCGTCAGCAGCGCAAGTCTGTGCAGTTCAACGAGGAGGTGGAGGTGAACACAGTGGAGCGCGCCGCCGCCGAGCCGGTGGCCATCGACGGCGCCAAGATATCCGAGCTGCTGGAGCTGCTGAACGAGGCGGACCCGACCGGCGACCGGCCCGACTCAGACCACCTGCTGGCGCTCGAGGGTGAGACGACCCAAACTGGCACGATGAGATAGCTGGAGTGGAGCCATTAGATGTCCATCTGCAGGGGAAAAATCGTTGTATGGCATTGTGCATTGTTCTGTAATTTAATTCAGTGACAATGGTTATTTTGTCTATCTACACTCGTCACAGTAAATCGTATAAGGGCGGGATGTGCTGTGATTTTAATATTCACGTCATCTACTCTTTCCGTTACGCTGAACGCCTGCACCGCCATCTTGCCCAAGCATCTGCGTTCCGTCCGCTAACGCTCGCCCATCTGCCGCCTCCCCCAGAGCAATGTCTGGCGATGGGCCCGCTGATTGACCAGGAGCTGGAGCGCACCGACCGGCGGCACGCGCAGCTCACCAAGATCAGCTCGGATCTGGTGGACGCGCTCAACCTCTACCACCAGCTGATGCGAGACACGCCGGCCGTGTCCGGCTACTACGGCCCGCCGCCGGCGCACCTGGTCAAACAGTACGGCCAGCCGGGACCGATGGCCGGCGCGCCGCCGCCGCCAGGAGGGTACTACGGGATGCCGCCGGCGCCGCCCGGTCTGCCGCAACACGGCGCTCCGCAGGTCAGTCTGAGATGGAGGGGGGACGGTGTGGTGTGGTGTGAAAGATCAGAGTCATACTGATGGATATTTTTTTTACTGGTGGGTAACGGCAGTCTGTGGCTATGGCCAGGACACCAATCATGCATCCCCTCGCCCCATGAAACTTGAAACATGTAGGCAATTACCTTTTTAATAGCGTTTTACTTTATTTAAAGCATCCTACGTATACCATTTGTCTCAACCTTTTGTGAAGCATGTAAATGAAGGCGCGACTGATTTTAGTCAGTAATCTTATCAGGACGGTACCGGGCCATCTGCATAATGTCGCTGTGACAGTTACCATCACCGGGTGCCAGGCCATACGGCCACCGCCGGCACGCACGGGGTTCCACTGCTGGTCGGCGCCTTATTGGCTACTGAGCTGAGTCGCCGTGCAGCTCCATGCCGTTCATCAACTGTGTGTTGACACTTGACGATGCGTCATCACGCGTACTCAGCTTCGTGGACGATATTTAATCGGTGTGGCATGTGACGCTTCAGCAGTCCCCCATCGCGTCGCGCGTTTAAGCCAGGCTAGCGGATCCGGACCGTGAAATGTAAACAGTAGTAGTGTGGGCCGTGTGTAGCCTGTCGAGCGCCGGATGTCCTGTGCTCTGGAGCCGTTTTACTCCGGGCATGATATACTGTGGCATGTGGGACATCTGTCTGCTCGTCTCTGCCCCACTGTCATGACACGTGGCCAATGTTTTTCTTATCTGTCTATCTCAGCCGTAACCCCAGCCCAACACATCTGCGCCGCCCAGATATGACCCATGACCCCAGTCTGACCCAGTCTATGCCTCACCCGTGACCTAACCAGTCCGTCCGTCCGCCGTCAGCCATACCCAAACCAGCCCGCCTATCCGCCGTGACCCGTGACCTAACCAACCATTCTGCCGCCCGCCAGCCGTACCCGGGCCCGGGCCCGATGATGCCGCCGATGCCGGGCCACATGGCCGGCTACCCGCAGGCGCCGCCGCCGCCGCACATGGACGGACACATGGGCGGCCCGCCGGCGTCCATGGGCGGGCCGCCGGGCCCCATGGCGCCGCCCAGCTCCATGGCGGGCGGGCCCCACGGACCCATGGGACCGCCGAGCTCCATGGGAGGAGCGTACCCCGAATCGTCCGCCGCCGGAGGACCGTAAGTGACATAAGTTAGCAGAGAGCAACGTGATTAGATTGTTAGCATCATGGCTGTAAATCCTGCGCTGACAAGTTGCGATATTAGAGAGGAACTACGAGGTGGTCATTGCCACACTGCATATTTTGTACTCGGTACTCAAAAGTTTGTGAGCTAGCGACTAAAATCGGCGTGGTGGTGGTGGTGGTTTGTCCTGCCTGAGACGGTTGGTCCGGTCCAGTATGGTCCCTGATAGTGGCTGGTGTGCCGTTCCCTGTTTCAGTCCCCCTGGACTAGACCGACCAGCGTATTACTGACTCAGTGAGTGCGTCTGTTAATCTGCTGGATGCCCTCTTCGCTTCTTTTACGTTCGCTTTTTCGTTGACCGTGCCATTTGGAGTTTGCCTGAGAGCTGATGTTCCGGGTGAAGCTTTCGTGTTATTTTTGTGTTGCCCTCAATGTGCTTTACATACTGGCTGTACATCAAATCGCATATCCATCGCCCAGCCGCCGCCGGCTTGTTTCAATGTCTACTACACCTTTTTGCATTTGAATTCAACCATTCGCCATAACTGTTTGAGGAGTCATTTCGACAGTCGGCATTGAGCACAACTATTCCGGCATGATGTCTTTCATTTCAGTCATTCAGCAAAACAGATTGAACACTGAAATGAGCGATCTGCAAAACAGTTTGACACTTCGCCAGACTTCGGCATTGAGCGAGCCAGCTCGGCATATGACGAATAGTTTCGACCATTGACGATTTGTTTTGCACAATGTTGAACCATTCGTTCAATGTCGAGTTATCGAGGAAGACCGCCGAATAGTTTTGCACAATGGTGATTCTTTGTGACCAACCGACCATTTGTAGCGCCACCTATATGGCGAATGTGTACAAATGTTTTGCCCAATGGTCAAAAGCTAACGCAAAAAGGTGTAGTACTGCCGTATAGGATGTTCAATGAATGCCTTTTGTTTGCGCTGCTTCTGCTGTCTTTCAACATCTGTGCCACACGCTGTCAGCATTGTTCTACTCGTGCCTCAACTCGCTACATAGTCTCGCTTTTGCGTTTGCGTTTTCTTCATTTGTGCCGCGACAAACGTTGTTCGGGAAAATACTTTTGTTTGGAATTGGGAATCGCCTGATATCTTCAGTTATCATTATCATCGATGGCACCTCGATGCCGTTTGGGCCTCAAATCTGTACCCTATTTATTTGCCTCAAGTTTCGTTACATGCTAAATGCTAATGCAAGTAAATTCGTATGCAAGTAAACTCCGTCGTTCTGCTGCCATTAGCATTGTAACTCATTTGTAACTGTTCATAATTTTACTTTACTCGTGTATCTGCGGCGCTCGTGACGTGCCCTTTCAGTGTCCAGCCGACTGACAGTGCGCCGTGTCCGCAGGCTGCCCCCGCCGGGCGGTGCGCCGCCGCCTCACTGGGGCCACTACGCCGGTCCGCCGCCGGCCGAGCACCATTTCGCCGGGTACGCCGCCGCCGCCGCGCCGATCGGTCCGCCTCGGCAGCACCTGTGAGAGCGGCCAGCGCCGCTCCGACCCACTCACTAGCTATGGCAATGTATTCACACATCTATTCTATTATTGGTGCACTGCGGGAGCACGCTGCGGTGACCAGAGGCGACTCTGGGATGAGAGGCTCGGCGCTCGACGGCGTCGGGTGCGGTCGGCAGCCGCTCAAAGGTGTGGCCCGTCTCGCGGTCCGAAGTGCCGCACGAGTCTGACTCTGGTGGCAGTCGATCGCGCGTGATGGAGCCGGGAGCCGCGGAGGAGACGTTGTCTGGTAATGACGGACAGGTGACAGTCCAGCCGGCCTCCGTCAGGTGTCGCTCGTCAGCAGTTACCGCCGCCAGCCGCCAGGGCTCACCGCACCGCCGCGGTGCGGGTTGCGCCCGTGTCGTGCCGAAGAAACAGGGATGGGTGCGCACTGCGCAGTGATGGCGACACACGCCCTCTGACTTACAGGCTGCTTACTTGGCTCGGATCGCCCCGACCCTTCCCGCTGCGGGCCGGGCACTGCGGGTGGCCCGTTGATGGGTGATCGGCTCCCCTGTGCTGCCCGGTGTGACCCGGTTGGGGCGGGAGGCGCCCGTTCAGTGCTGGGACCGGGCCGGCGGCCGCCAGCAATATGTCGGACCGCCGCGCTGTGCCGTCCGCTGGTGTTCGCGCTCGTGTGTGCATGGAGGTTCTGTTCGTAATCGTGAGTCGAGAGGCCCGCTCGCGGTCGGCAGAGGCGAATTCCATGGCCGACGCATCGGTCACGCGTGATGAATACTATGGTGAACGTATGTATATTGTATATGTATGGTAAGGACGCCCTGTGAAATACATTACTACACAAACGTCCCGCGCGGCGGTCGCTTCTCGCTGGATACCAGGGAGCTCGGCGAAATGAAAACAGAAACATGCAGAGTGCGAAAAGATTCACACACAGTGCTTAGCACAACAGTTTGTATGAGACGCACAACACGCAACACTACAACACCGCAGCACAGAAAAACAGTGTGATTATGGTTCAATATGAAAACGACACAAGGCGCTCGCCAGTCCGCAGAATATGATCGCCTCAAAACATCCGCTGTGTCAACGTCGTTAGTAGTTTCTCGGTGGAAACTCGTCCCACAAAACTTCTCCAGACAGAAACATGCTATAAAAATATTGTAACGCCATTGATTTGAACCTGCCACCTCCGATAGCCTCGACACGGACGCGCGCACGCCGCCAGTTCATTTACATAACGCGTCTCTACGTGACCTTATGCAACGCGATAGCCGCGTCGTGTGTCCACCCCGACCAAATGACTGGCATCAATGCGACCCCAACCCGATCGCCGCGATTCTGTCCGTCCCAAGTGCCATCGTGAAACTTCTACTACACAATCATACACAAATCATCCAACCTGCCGACATAAACTTTGCATATCGATGACACTCTTCCTCAACCACATATTGGCGATGATCATGATTTCCTACCGATGCCGCGAGTTCTCTACGAGTCAAAATCTACGGCTAACATCGTCAACAATTTCTACAACCACTCCACGATAAAACGTCTCGTGTTTCAATAAAGTTCCACCAAACAATCCGTCCTTCTGTCGACAGTGGCGTTATTTCCCGCTGCTGTCGGGCAGCTGGGTGGTCGAGTCCACCTTTTCGTCCGCGCCGAGCAACTGTTTGATGTCGGCGCTCGTCGACAGGGACGCCGGGTTCAGGTAGGCCGTGCGCGTGCTGCCATCCTCCTGCGCCACCTCATAGGCGAGCAGGGTGTCGGCGCCGAGGCCGCCCAGGTTCTCCAGCGGGTTCACCGTCTGCACGTTGCCGCGCTCGTCGACGCTCACCAAGACGTAGGTGTCCGGCTGGCCGTCCGTGCCCGGCACGGAGAGGATCTGCAGGTTCGGCGGCAGGCTGGAGGTGGCCGTGGCGGCGGGCGGTCCGTCTGCAGATGAGGTCGGTGTTGGCCGGCTGGATGACACGTCCACCGCGTCGGCGGCACGCGGTGGTGGCGAGCCGGCCGGACAGACGCGCACGGGCCGTGGCCGCGCCGCCACCGGCTCCGGCTCGGCACCGGTGAACTCGTAGGTGCTCAGCGCGGCCTGGTCGGCGGGCGCCGGCGGCAGGGTGGGCAGCGCCACCGGCGCCGTCTCAGCCAGCACGTCGTCGACGGCTGCCTGCAGCAGCGCGTCGTTTCGCTCACGCTGAGCCTGCTTCTTGGCCGCCTCCTCGTCGTCGGCTGACGGCGGCTCGGCCGCGCTCGGCTCAGTCTCGTCCGTGCGCTCAGCATCGGTCTCGTCCGTCCGCTCCGCATCGGCCTCTTTCGCCCGCTCCGCCTCGGTCTCTTCCACCCGCTCCGCATCATTCTCCGATAGCGTAAACGGCTCGACATCAACGCTCTCATCCTTGGTGTCCTCGCCCAGCTTCGTAGCGTCGTCGTTGGACGCTTCGGCTGGTGATCCTCCCGACGAGGTTGACGGCCCCGAGGCGTCGTCCATCTTCGTCGGCGTCTTCTTGTCACAGATGAAGCGCTCGATCTCCGACCGGATCTTGGCTCGTTCAGCTTCCTCCTCGTCGTCGTCTTCGTCCCAGTCCTCGAGCAGCAGTGGCCGCGACGACTGCGCCGGCTTCAGCGGACTCAGCTTCACCGGCGTCTTGGGCTTCACCTCTTCGACTTTGTCTTCCTTCTTCGGAGACTTTTTCGGCGTGCTCGGTGCGGATTTCTTCGGCGATGGCTTCGACAGCTTCTTCGGCGTACCTTCGCCCCGTTCAACCTTCGCTTTTACGACTTTTCCTGTGCTTCCATCCGCAGGGCGTTTCTTCTTTTTCGGGGTGGAGTCTCTCGGTTCAGCGTTGTTTTTCCGCTTGGCAGTGGCCGGTTTAGCCGCAGCGGCTGCCACGTGGCTTTTGTTGTGAATCACGAGAACGTTGAGACGGCCGGTGGTGAAGCCGCACTCGGAGCAGCGGTACGGGTTGGTGAGAGATGGCGCCACCGTGCGAGCTTCCGGACTGTCCGGTGCCAGAATGTGAATCTTGTGGTCGTTCTCCGCGATGAAGCGAGGGTGAGTGATGGGTCGCGGCGACTCGGACGCCGGTTTGGCTGGTTTCTTTGGTTTCGATACCGGCTTCCGGCTCTTGGAGACCTCCGGAAACAGATCAGAGTACTTGGAGGTCTTCAGTTTCGGAGAGTTCTCACTGGTCCGTGGTATTTTCCGCTTGGCACCGGCCTTGGTGGTGTTGGATTTTCGACCTGAGCCGAACAGTTCGTCGTACTTTTGACGACCAGTCATGCTGAACTTTTCCCGGCTCAGAATGTGGATATCACCATCGGTTAGCTTTTCTGCCGTGATTATATCCTTCTTAAAGTCCTCAGCGATATCAGACTTGTTTCTGGTCAGCTCTGAAAGGGCGCAATAAATCGTGATAGCACATCAGAAAGCAGATTAACCCATAAGCATGATTTTACGCGATGCAAAGCCAAAACTTACCGGTAAACCGGTAAACAAACGGTGTGTAGCCTCTTTAAAACGTATCATGATTCACATTCCACGTACCAACAGCATTATTGCAGTTTGCACTACTGTAGTATTACCGCTGCATAACTGTGATCTTAATCTTATCACTACCTTCCTACGTGTTTGTGATGATTTCATAATTCATACTCACGTAAGCTTTTAAGAACAATATCGTCCTTTTCTTCGCAGTTGTACCGACAAATTTGATTTGTGTTGTGCACATCATGGCTGAAAACAAAGATCGATTGATAAGAACATAGCCGCACTTCCCATTTATTGTGCCAGAGCAGAGCTATGATGTAGATGAGCTGGGGCTTGAGGTGTTCGGAGTGGAAGATATCCACGATGTTCAATATCACACTTTCCAACTTAAATTTATCTTATGATACATTTCAACTGGATTGCAACGCAGATCACGCAAAATAAAGCAGAATAATATCCCGTTACATTTCGAGTATCCGATACATCGAGTATCGAGTACATCGATGTTTTTGATCGAGCTATCCAACGAAAATTCTGTCAACACTTAGCAGTTGTTGTGTATTTGCGGTGTTCTGCTAGCAATTATAAAATGACCTCAACATGGAGGTGCCGAGCAGTGCAATGTCTCCCGCAAATATTGTGATTGTTTTTGGATAAAATCTGGGTTCGAGGGGGGACTTGGGAGTGACATGAAAAAATGGAATACAGGAAGTGATATATTGTGATTTTGAATATTGAATAGACTGAAGAAAGGAATAATATCTGGAACAGCAGTATAATAACTGCTTTTAGGGCGACTTTATGCAGCACTAGGCTCAGAAGTCTATAACACTATTCTATTCAGGACACTATTTTTTATAGTGTCCTGAAAATATGTGCCCTGGAACATTTTATCATTTTATTTTTATGATATTGCTATATAAGTACTCACAGTTTTTTGTCAAAGAACTCGACAACCACGATGGGGTCTCGTTTCAGCGCCTCTAGAAATTCTTCACACTCTGGGTCGGTCTTGTCTTTGACCACGGCTGGCCACTGGACACCACCCAGCTTCACCCAGACCAGCTCCTTGGGCACAAACTGACTCATGGCTGCAGCACACCACTGTAACAGAGGCAGAGCACATAGATGAGATGACAGCATGGAAACACAGATAGGTACCAAAGGCTCCCTGAAAATAGGAGGGTCACTTGGTGAGACAATGCTTGTAACAGTGTTCAGAACATCTGAACTGTTGAGGTCCTGCAGTGCAGATGATGGCAGATTTAGTTTCAGGCTAAAGCTAAAGCCGGTTTGTTCAAAACAAAGAGTTACCACAATTGGAACTCTTTAGGATAGGTACCTACACTAAACCTACCAGCTACTGTTTGTTATATTATAAGACCATTAAACAATCTTAAAGCATTGTTGGCCATGGCATAGATGGAAAGCTTATTTCAGTTTATTCCACAGTCCATTTCAACATCTTCATCCATAACCAAAACCATAACAATCACCATTTCGAATTTATTCATCTGTGGCTATCTTTATCCTCAGTTTTGATCCCTCTTTCATTTTGCATTTATTCATATTCTACTAAGCATCAATCTTTGACACATCTTTGTACATGGCATTTTTGTCTCTGCAAATATTTGTCATTAGATCTTGGTATCTGCAAATCTTTGGCTAGTCTGTGAACACTAACTGAATATGCATATACAAAGCTCATTTGCAAGTCTTCATATGGTAAGCCTTTGACCCCAAATCTTAATCAATCAAACTGGTCATAAGATCTATTGACTGCTTTGCATATGCACAATGATTTAGATATTGGTGCAAAAATCACCTCAGCAATCCTGCATTAATAGGCCATACAATGAAAGAGCATTCACTTTAAAGTTGGTGAAGCATGAGAAACCATCATTACTTACAGAGTATTTCTTATGGAAATCAGTTATATGCCAAGCTCCCTACCAGTACTTCCTTCCCTCAACTTATTTTTATCTTAGTGCAATTGGCTTTCAATATGACTGAATCCAGTTAATACTGAACATGAAACCCCACATTGGATGACTGTGGAAACAGGGACACCGGTGAAAACAGGGCGCCGGAGGGCATATTAGTCACGTGACATTTGAAACTTCTCCCGCTCCATGGGCCTTCTTTATCCCAAACGTCACGTGTAAATTTAACGAACCTTGATCAAATCGCCCCAGGCGCCGGTTTCACCGTCGTGCGAAAACAGGGTGCCTGGGGCAATTTGACAAGATTCGTAAAATTTACATGTGATGTTAAGCATGTAGATGGCCCACGGAGCGGGAGAAGTTCCAAATATCACGTGACCAATATGCCCTCTAGCGCCCTGTCTTCAGCGGCGTCC